GTGTGTGAAAAAATAAAAACACTATGTTAAGTAACACAAATGAATATTTTTAGATTATTAAGAACAACATTCCAGTTTTGGAATACTTAAATAATTTAAATGTTTCAAATACGGCCAGTTTTGTTTATACTTATGATTTCACTCCTTTTACACTTAAATGATTTGATAAAAGTGTTTAATTATCTGTTCGATGATCTTATAGACACAGAAATAAATATTCGTAAGTATAAATTTACTAAAATTCAATGTAAAAATATTATTCATTTCTGTGTTTATAATAGTTATATCACTTTTAATGAATAGTTATATAAACAAACTGTGGGGATTCCAATGGGATCTAACTTTTCTTCAAATATGGCTAATTTATATTTGTTTTTGTTACGAAAATACACTTATGAAACAGGTTTCAAATCCTAAATTATACAATTATAATTTTCGTTATATAGACGATCTAATTGCTATAGAAAATTAGTACTTTTGACCAAGTCTAATATATCCAAAGGAACTTCAAACAGGAAAAAGTAATAATAATAATAATAATAATGTATATGCTAATTATTTAGATATGGATATCAAATTAGTAAATTTCATCAATTTTTTTAAAATGATTGATTGTTTTAAGTTAAGCACAAATCAACACAATGGTTTATCGGTGTTCTGCCCACCATTGTTATCGAAACCAGGATTCTAGGGGGGGGGGGCTTTCCAAAATGAAATATCATTTCAGTCATACTTAAACATATGATATAAGTTTTCAAGAAACTGTATTATCATTTCAGGGATCAATGAACAATGGCAGGCTGATTTAGTGGATCTCTCTAACATAATTCAATATAAGAGTCAGTTTAAATATTTACTCATATGTATCGACGTGTTTTCAAAATATGCATGCCTTGTTCCACTCAAGGATAAGAAAGGTGCAACACTTGTAAACTCTATAAAAAAATTTAAAACAGGGTCAAAACCCTTGTAAACTTCAAACTGATGCTGGGACAGAGTTTACTAGTCATCTTTTTCAAGGATATCTCAAGAAACAAGACATTCACTTCTTTACTACACATAATGAAACAAAATAATCTATAGTAGAAAGATTTAATTGCACTCTTAAAACTACAATGTTGTGCTACTTTACTCGTCCTGGAACTTATAAATATATCATTTTATTGAAATATCTGGTCAGTGCCTATAATAAATCGTATCATAGCATCATTAAAATGAGACCAATATATGTTAATCACTCTAATCGGTCTGTGGTGTGGAAAACACTTTACAAAACACCCACTAAAGTAAAATTTCAGTTCAAAGTAGGTGAATAAAGTACGTATTAGTAAACTGAAGCGTCAATTTAAGAAAGGTTATATATTCGATGACGAGGAACCCACTTTGAGACTAATAATGGCTGGAGACGGCTTGAATGGGTAATGAAGAAAAACTTTAATATAAGTTTAACATAACAGCAAGTGTACAACGTTTCGACAAGGTTTTGTCATCATCAGGTACCTTTCAGCCTTGAGAGCATTATAATGTGATGGCCAGTCTCACTAGTCATTAGTAAAGATTAGCGTAACCCGTTATCAAATCCACCCACATATTTACACATGCTAGACATCATCTCCACCCATACATTAATGCCAACTACAGTAATGAAAAAAAGCTTCCATGAATGATAACGGGTTAAGAGCTGGTGATGAGTGATGTTGACTGTTATATTAATTCAAAATTAGGACTAGCTAGTGCAGGTGGCTCTTGAAGCTTTACATAAAATTCGACAAACGAACAGTAATCATAATAAATCTTAGTTCAAATGTTGCTTTTTTCACACGTTACTTTGTAAGAATAGAGATCCACATTTTGATTTGTCCCCTGAAAAGACATTGGTAACTTTATGGACTTACAACATCAAATCTGGGGTCAGATTCCCTATGATGGGGAGTGCAGATAGCCCAATGTGGCTTTGCTCTAAAACAACCAACCAACCATTTAGATTTAGCATTAGGTAGATACTGTTCATTGGAAATATATAGTAGTATTAACGCATACATTATCATTATTTATCCTTCTTAACAAAGAGCAATTGCCCCCAGTGGCACAGCAGTATGTCTGCAGACTTATACCCCTAGAAACTGTGTTTCGATACCCATGGTGGGCATAGCACAGGTAGCCCCTTGTGTAGCTTTGTGCTTAATAATAAACAAAAAAGAGCAATATTTTTAAAAATAAATAAATATTTGTAACTTTAAATGTCAATAACGAAATTTTTTTTTCTGTAGCTTTAAGTTGTTCAAAAGATGAACTGAATTCACTACCTGATGAATTTATAAGATCCATCTTAAAATCTGAATAATGGTAAATGTATAGTATCATAAGTGTAATAAGAATAATTATATTCAGTTCTGTGCAGATTAATGCTTTATATATATATATATATTATATTGAAGTATTACTTTAATGGTAAAGCATTTCA